CTACCAGAACAAGTCTTAAAAAAAGCATTTTTAAGGTTTTTGCTTCCATTTCTTTCTTTTTTTTTTCATAATAAAGCTGAAAAAATCGATAGTGTTATTTTGGAAATTATTATGCCTCATGTTCAAGCTTCTTGAGCTCGTTACCGTCCAAATCCCTGCAGGAAAACAAATAAAATTAATTTGAGTCAGATAAATAAAAAAATCATTTTCGACCGCCATTTTGTAAACCCTATTCCCATCAGTACCCTTTATAATAAAACAAGTGGGTAGAATACTTAGGAAAATACGTTTTTCATCATTGATTAACGCAGAATTTCATTAAATGCTTAATTTAATAAGCACTTTGAGCAACACTTAGTAGACGCAAGGATTCTTTCTCCCCTTTCGTGATCCCTTTCGCTCGCATATAAAAACAGCAAAGCATCAATCACTTTAATTTATTACAATACGGTAGTTTCAATACGTTAAAAACCTTCTTTACATAGAAACTGTAAGAACAAGGCTTTTAAAGTCCAAAGGAAAAGGCACAACAATTACGTTAACAAATTCTATCTATTTCATATGAGAAATACTTAAAATTAAAAGAGGCAATAACAGCAAACTTTAAGGATTAGGTACAAACCTATCGGTTGCTGTCAAATCGTCAAGCTTTTTTCAAACAAAATTATTGTCATGCTGGAGCAGTTTTCTTCAAGGAATCAAAGGCAATTTAAAATGCTATTAGATTAACTGATTTTGATTCTCGATGGAGGGATTTTCACTCCCAAGTGTACGAAATCGAACCTTGCAGTTTGTGGATCACTTATTATTACGATATTTAAGTTACTTCCTCTAAGGCGAGATTCGAAGGAATTTTTTTCGCAGCTCATTGCATGGAAAGAGTTCCCTTAGACATTGTGACACTTTTTTATTTGTATATAATATCATACATAAGAAGCCAAAACCGTTTGTCCCTTCTCGTGGCTAGATTATTCCAGTTAAGAAATGTAAGGAGATTTTCCAACCTTTATTCAAATTTTTGAATCTACTGAGTAAATTGAAGACACTCAGGGAGGTAGTTTATAGACCTAAAACATACCCGAAAAGGTCAACAGGAGAAATGGCTATGGTTCTCGTGAAATTTACTTACTGTCGGTGAAAGCCTCTAGGTCTGTCATATCGCTTATTAGGGAGTTAAAGCAGCGACGTTTATGAGTGATGCGCGTCAACCGGAAGGAAGTCCTTTTCCATTTCAATGTGCCTTAGCGCTACCAAATTTTCACTCTTAAGTGTCTTTTCTCTCATAGAGACGATTTGCCTGAAAATTAGGTCTAAATCACGATGCAAGATTGCAAAAAGTTCACTTCCAGTTGACGTGCGTCGCTCAAAAATGTCGTTGCTTAGATATAGGGACATCCCGCATTGTCATTCTAAACAACTGTAAAATATAGTAGTCTATTTGAATAGAATTACTTTGAAGAGTAAAATTAGTGGAAATTATACCCAGTTCTTCAAAACACTCGAAATGCAGTCTCAGACAATCTAATTCTACCCGCACCCCAGAGACTTGCGCCTCCGGCAAAAAATCCTGGCTGCAAGCCTGAAACTTTCCATAACCAGAAAATTATAGATCCACTTTTTTCATATGACAGATGCCTTCAACAATCATTTCAACAAAATACAGCTTTCTGTAACTTCTGCTGCACTAGTGGACGAAAATATTCAAGCTGACATATATGCAAGGCTTTCAGGCTTAATACTCCTCCAGTGACCACTAGGCAGGTTGAAAAGAACGTTAAGTGTATAGGTGGAAACAAAGCTACAAGCCAGGACCGTCACGGTTTTGGAATTAAGATCATAAAACTGCCACTACCGGCGATCTCTCAAAGCATAGCTAAAATCTATTACACTAGTTTCAAAAAAGCTGCATTTCCGAATAACTTCAGAAAATCTCGGTTAATCCCTGTTTAAAGAGAAAGACTTGCCTCACGATAAGAATAATAAAGGCCTATCTCGGTTGTACCAGTTATCTCTAAACCTATTCGCGTCATCCTACATGTACCTAAAATACCTGACTAACGATGGTCTTCTATATAGCAAGCAGTCAACCTATCATCTCAGCCATTTCCATCTCAGCCGTGTTGAGCCTCACTACAACTGCCTAAAAGCTACGGATAACATCTTTGTTGGGTCGGTATTTCTGGATCTAAGCAAAGTCTTTGAACTAGTTTGTCACTACATCTTGCTATCCAAGATCGCTTAATACCACGCCAGCCAACCAACCTCGAGGAGATTCAAGTCTTACTCACGTGATCGAACACAGACTGGCGCCATTACTGGCATAATATCTGACTCAAGTTGACAAAAGGCGTCCTATAGGGGTCGATTTTCCCGTTTTCTTTTCCCTTTAAATTAATGATCTGCCTCTGTGTTTACCAGCTTCTGACGTCGAAAAATTTGCCGATAATACAACTTTATGGACTTCCGATCACTCTATCGATCATATCCAACATAATTTGCAAAACAGTCCAAACAAAGCCACCATTTGGTTTTTATGAAATCAAACGTATGGTCCCTAACACAAAGAAGACAAGACATTTATCATTTATTTCTGACCCAATGTTTTTAGTTTTACCTAAAATTTCGTATAGTTTACCGGTGTATGCATCCTCCGTGCCTGAACTTTATACTGTGCAGCAGTTCCTTCGCAGATGTCATAAACGCCGTTTTATATCCTATACTATAGATGTATACCATTTTCTTCAAAAAACAAACAAGTCAATCTCCAAGAAGATTAGTTGCCTACCTACTTATCCACCGTATAATTTGTTGCCCAGAGTTAAAAAATCTTCAAAACGTCTGAGAACTCACACAAGCCTGCTACCCTGTGTTAATACCGAACTTTTTAAAGCTAGCTATATTAATAGACTATACTTCAAATATACTTTTACTTTTTAACTAATAATATTAATATTAAACATGTAAATATAGGTATGTATTTTTCCTTGTATATTCCACAAAGACTTAAAGAGCTATAACAGTCGATCTTTCAATAATCTTTTGGTTATACCGAAGATGTCGGTCAAACGTTATTCTTCGAACATTTCATGCGAGTGCGACTGGCCTGTGGAACTGTCTTGACCACAATGTTATGAACATAGCAAATGAAAGCAACTTTACAAAACCTTAATTATTAAACATCAATTCAAATGGCGCAAGTTTTTATTGTTACAAGGAGGTTTTAAGGCCCCTTTATCGGAAACATTTTCAATATCGACTGTTTTGTACCAAATAATTATTTTTAATTAATTTATTTATTTCATTAACTTCGCCAAACAATAAGATAAGTGACACTAAAAAAAAAAGTTAACAAATGTTCACAGGAGAAAAGGCGGGGACACTACAACAGCCAGCGCCAATTACTGCGAGCCCAAGACACAGATCACCAAAAAAATGTGGAAACAACAGGTGATGTTCCGCCCTAGGTTATGGGCAGCGTTACAGGTCGAGCATATAGATTGAAAGAGCGAGGGTCATCAGGGATGCAGGAAGCGACAAAATCTTGTTTTTAATAACCGTAAAGGACAGCTTTAAAAGAACTTAAAGAACAAGTAATAGATAGTCCAAGGTCTGTGGCCATATTTTACTAGTTCTGTCAAAAAACGATCTTTGGAAGGTTGTTGATTTACAGTGCCTGATTATTGTTGGAGCGCGTATCCGAGGAGTAACATGTACAGTTGGATTAATTTCAACACGCCCAGTTACGGCCTTAAAGAAGAATACCGTGTCAAGATATTCGTGTCAGTATGTTAGGGGAAGCAGGTTAATTGAATGAGCCTATCCTTATGTGATTGTTGACAATGAAATGGAAGATGGAAGATGTACTTTGAAGCTCGTCGCTGGATCCGCCCCACTTTGCAAACCAGTTCGATCGATTAAGAGGCCCACACTTGTGTTGCGTACCCAAAGTGGGACCTCAAAAATGTTAAATAGATGGTTCGTCTTACAGGAAATTCCTTAATTAATACACCTTGTGTTACGCCGGACGAAACCAAACATCGTGATATCTTTGAACAGACCGCACAAACCTGTTTGTCCCATGAGAGGTTGTCAGAAATGACAACACGTAGGTCTTTTTCGCAGTGGAGATTCTAAGGGCATGTTCAATTTATTCATAGCTGGCAATTACAGGATTGAGGTTTCTAGTCATCCGCTGTATTTTACATTTATTTTAGATTTATTTAAGGCCGGGCCAACAGAATAAGACCAGGAGGCGAGCTTCCTTAAGTCAGCCTTCAGCAATGATGAATCTTCTTGAGTAATGATGGTTTTAAAAATCTTAGTATCATCGGCAAAGGTGGAGACTCGACTTGATTTCACAACGTCAGGCAACGAATTCGCATAGAAGAGAAACAGCATAGGGCCTAAGATTGAACCTTGGGGCACTCAAGAAGTTACAGGGAGTGCCTCCGAAGACACAACTAATGCGGTTACCCTCTGAAGACGGTTTTGAAGGTAAAAATCAAACCATGCCAGTAAGTTCCCGCCAAAACCGTGTTCTTGCAACAATGTGAGTAGTTTGCGATGCATGACTTACTTTATCGAAAGCCTTAGAAATATCTAAAAACATAAAGTCCACTTGTCCCCGTTTGTCTAACTGGGAACCAATAAGGCAATACACCTCAACCAGTTGCGTAACGCACGAACGCTTTGCCATGAAGCCATGTTGGCAGCTGCCGACCAGGATATATAATTGATCTTCAATAACGTTAAACAAACTACGCTCCATAACTTTAGAAACTAAGCAGAGTAGTGAGATGGGTCGATAATTTTCGATGTATTCTTTATTGTCCTTCTTATATACAGGGACTATAGCAGCCAGTTTCCATTCAGTCGGGAGAGAGCCAAGTCTAAGCAATTTATTGAAGAGATCACAGAGTGAAGGATCAATCTCGCGAGCTGTTTCCTTAAGTGTTCTGGCTGGAATTTCGTCTGGGCCAGAAGCTTTGTTCACATCGAGACTAGACAAACAGCTGGACTTGATTGGTTGTAAATGTCAAGTCACATAGCTCTGGATTAGGATGGACTTCATCCACGCAATCAGGACGGCAAATGTCAGCATCTTGTGTGAAGACTGACACAAAGTACTGATTGAATAACTTAACAATTTTGCTGGACGAGGTTGCTGAAATACGTCTCCCATCCTCAGCTGCTGTGGATATCACTCCTGATACATTCCGGTGTTTCGATTTTAATTTTAGGGTAAACCAGAAGCGTTTTGGATTAGATCTGAATACTGATTCCATTTCCGAAAAAAAGAGTCACGTGCCTCGCGTATTCTACACTTGACCGCAGAACGCAGGTCTCTAAACTTTGGCCTCAAATAGCTTGATGGACTTACGCGTGGATTCCTTTTTCTTTTTTTAAAATTAATTATGGGCCCATTTATCCAAGGTACTGGATACCTTCCCTTGAGTTTCTTCTTTGGAATATGATCCTTTACAGCCGCCAAAAGAGCGTCTTTCCAGTTATGCCAGTCGACGTTTATGTTAGCATCGTCATTAGAAACAAAATTCGCCAAATTTGCGGCACGTAGCGAAGACCGAAGATCATCAAAGTCCCCTCTAATATAGTCGTACACAGAGCGCTGATTCTTAGATGGTGCCTTAACAGCAATGGCTTAACTTCTCATGATGATATGTTTTACAACGTATAATAAATTAAAATAGTCTTTTTTCACTTTTTTTGGCCCACCGTATGAACTAGTGGGTCCAACGGGAATTTTGTCAGCCAATAAAGTTTATTTACTTGAGTTATTTTTTTATTTATTTAAATAAACGAAATGGCTTAAAAGCAGAAAAACGCTAGTTTAAGAACGTTTGTTGATGATACCTGCTGCGTATTAAACAAGATGCAGCCTTGAGGCCGAGTTTATTATTGGGCTGCCCTTTCAGGGCAACGCCCAATCATAAAATGGAGGCCGCCTCGTCTGTGCAGGAAAAAGACAAAATGGCGGACGGATCAGGTTTCCCGTTCCCCCTCCACTGCGTTTTTTTCTAATCTTCAGATTTTTGAGGGGAAATGGTGAGTCATTTCAGATAAAAATTATGGTAGGGGAACAAGAACAATACTTTTGTGTGAAGTTATCAGCCCTATGTTACCGCCTAGAAAACAGGAAAAATTGATCAGGTAGTAAGAACCTTAAACTCTTGTCTAAAGCTCTTTTCACTTGTCACCCGTCCCCTGAGTGCTTTCTGTGGTTACCGTAAAAGAACACGGATTGAAACGCATTTCAGTTCCATCACTTTACCAAGGGACGATCGATTGCGTTTGAATCGTGTTGAAGAGGGATATTCATGTTTGGATACTGGACCATGGCAATGCTCCGCATACACATCCATAAACCACGGTAGATCAGCTCTAAAAGATGATTGTGAGCGTTTTTGGCACAGACCGGTTCGTCATAAGACTTGTAATGAAAAGAGCAAACTGATAACAATTGATGAAACTACAACTGAACAATGCAGTGTCAGCTGCTGTATGGAGTTCAACTGAAAGTGTTGTGTTGATGAAAATAACAGCAGGTATCTAACTAAGGGATGACACTCGATTGGCACTATGCCAAACTGTATCGATAATAAATTAGTACAGAAAATTAAATGGATTGAGGAACACCAAACAGCGACTCACTCTTAAGTTTAACCCTTCAACGATTGCGTTAGTCGTTTTCGTTCCTCATGGAACGATGCATATTTTCTTTCCGGCACCCCTTTAACTTTCAGTTTAAGTTAATAAATTGGCAAGCAACAACGTCAACAACGATAGATCTTTCCAGCGATACCTCGTTTTGGATAGTCTGACCAATCCTGACAGAGTTACACTCACAAAAAAGCTAACATTTTGGGGAAAATCCACTGCCAATTTCGCTGTTTACATACTACGCTTTGAAAATTAAATTTGCCCCTTTCCTGAAAAGTTAGCCAGCCACAAATCCATGCAAATGAAACACGATAGTTTTTGCGCATGCGTGAAAAAACAAAAAAACTGTTTTATCACGTCAGATTAGTCGGAAAATATGCCCTTTTTTCTTGCAAAACTCATTTATAGCCATTCTTATGCTAATTAGCCGAAAACTAGTCTAAAGAAGAAAGAATTGGTGAAAAACGCGGTTTTTTCGCTACTCGCCGGCCGTCGACAAAGGGTTTATGATTAAGGCTAGGAAACTGAGTAAATTGAATCCTAGGATCCTTATTCAATCAACGTGAATTATCACTGGTGTCCGGCGTTGCCGTATTAAAGATTTGCTGGTGATCAAATCAATTAAAAAAAATAATAATGCAAGCACGTCAATACAAACTTCAGCTTCAGCCCTCGAGTCTTAGCAAACAACTTTTTCCTTCAAGGCCTTTATATTTTTCTCTTCTGACGTGATTGAAGTTTTAGCAGAAAGCCACTCAAGCGTGAAGCATGCACTCGTGCAAAAATTTCTGGGGTCGTTTCACATTTATGGATCTTTATGTCACGGTTGTGAATACGTTTCCTGAACTTGAATAAAGTTATTTTTTTAATACACAAAAGTTGGCAGACCGAAAAAGTAATCGGCAGAAAGTCTCAGTCTGGACCGATAGCTCTGCTTTCCTTAACCATGTTTTTAGAAGCAAACGTTTATGTAAAATAACAAATGTCGTCACGGAAGCGCGAGGATGTCTGGTTCAAACCTGAAATAAATGAATGCTATTTTGGAAGAATATGTATATATTTGTGGCATATCTCCTCAAGTGCATCTTTTGTAAGCATTTGATTATTGCTGAATTCATATCCATACCCAAAGTGCCACAGACTTTTTACACGCGGTTTCCAGTTTGGTCAAGTCCCCCTACCCCTGGTATCAAGGGTACATTTCCAGGGCATTTGTCAGAATAGGTTCCTCTATCTTATTGAGAGATCTTCAGAGGCCCTAGTTACGCTTTTTTGGGAAACGAGTTCTATCAAGAGTGAAGAGATCAGCGCCAATGGTATGCCATGCCCTGGTGGTATGTCTGTGGGGATTAGGAGTTCCTTTTTTTGACTTTGCTGGAGTTCCTCACAGGTACGGCATGCTTTTGTGATCTTGGTAGTCATGTCATGGTACAACCCTTCCCATTTGAGGTGCTGGCCCGTAGCTTGATTCTCTCTGTTCCTTTTAGTGGTGTGTGGAGGTTGGCCAAAATATATTTCCGCAGCGTCGCAGGAATGATAATTCGGTGGGCCTTCGTGACTACTCCCTTTTCAGTGGCTATCTGGTCTTAGAAGGGCCAGCACGGATTTAGGAGTGTTGGGACCTGTTTGATGTGTAAGCCAACCTTCGCGGATCAGTTCTCTTAATGCACCGAGTTACGCGTCCAAACTGCTCTGTTCTTTGATCTTCTGGAACATGTCATTACTATTCTGAGGGAAGACAACCTTAATTTAATCGTTCATTTCGGGGATGGGGTCTTGACTCTCTGGTGATAATGTTGACAAGGCATTAGCTACTTCAATTTCTTTGCTTGGTCGGTAACGAATGGTGAGGTTCAGTGTTGACTGTAAAGCTTCGGCCGTACAGGTAGGTGTAGAACGTCACGCAGCCGTAGACAATAGCAAAGAATTCTCTTCCGATGTTTGCGCACCTTGCCTCCACATCCGCTAGGGCTTTGATGGCGAAAGCAAAAGGTTTACGGTCTTTTGTGAGGGTGGAACCTAGGCCTTTCAACTTCAAAATGGTTTCTTTATTTGGATGAAAGTATGTCAAAGTAACGTCGTTGCTGATTACCATTTGAAATGGTTGTCTTATTTCAAGAGCTCACGAGATGGAGCTGACAGTACCACTGCACGTCTCAGTATCCGCATTTTGCCTCCCTTGTAGAAAATGCTTCAGTATCAGTCAGCCTTAGTACGATCTCTTCTAGGGTGGGAGTAACATGATGTTCAATCTGAATGGCTGTATTGAGGTCTGATGTTCAGGTGGAGTCTCAACCTTCCACTCTGCTTGCGGCGGTAAACAAGGCTGTTGAACCATTGTGTGAGTTCATCTTCTTCGATCTTCGTTCTAATGTAATTTCTCGTCTAGTTCCTTTTTGATGTAGTTCTTCAGGCTGAATGTCACACGTCTTGGGGGATGGACAACCGGGGGTAGACTAGGTTCAAGTACTATGTGGTATTCGCCTTGGAACCTTCCCACTGCGTTGAAACATTCAGGATACTGACTGATCACGTCCTGTTTGTCCTTTTCACGGGCTAATTATTTGAAGCTGTATCGTTGCAGGGTGTGGTAACGTTGTCGTGGATAGGAAAGTTGGATATGAATAGGTTCAAGTCAGTCAGTGAAAGTCTGGAGGCCTATGATGGCTGGGCTTGGGATGTCTGTGGCATAGACGGCTGTTCGAGTGTGCTCTTTCGCACTTTGTAATAATCGTCCCACTTTGCAATACCTATCGCACTTTGAAATAAAAAAGTTGTCGCACTTTGTAATAATTAAAGCTGGCGCACTTTGAAATATCATTTGTCGCACTTTGTAGTAAACTTAAAATGGATCGTCGGAGGACAAGTAAACCAAATAATAAGTATCATCATCGACAACAACAAAAATAATAATAGTAACATTCCACTGAAAGGTTTTCAGCACCAATTTTTCAAGTGGGACTGGAGGAAA